AGGTTAGGTGCTGAAATCCTCAATACTTAGCTTTTAATATTTTAACTTTGTATTTCATAATTATGGTGTGCACCCATGCACCCATGCACACAGAAATAGATCTGAATCTTCCTGACAATATTCAGGGAGATTTCAGTGTTCTACAGATAAAATTAATAAATAGCCTTAACAAATACACAATACACAAGGTCTTTTGTTCTTAACTTGCATCAGGTAGGAAAAAAAGATAATATCTACAAATACTAACAAAAATAGACCTAGATGATGTGAACAGTAATTTCCTGGCAAAAATATGAGTAAAATTCAATGTCATTTTAACAATAAACACACATTTTTCATAACAATAAATAATGTTATAAATCCTGCTGTACTGGACTGCAAATAACTGCAGCTGAAAAAAACTATATGACATGGGATTTACTTACCCTGTATGTTCACAGAAACAACTTATTCTCTGACAGCACTCATTCTTGGCAATTTATTGCACCTGTCAGCAACCAATTTGTTCAGATTACTGCTATGCATAAAGTTGTAACAATTATGAGGATTTATTAGCTGATTATTGTAAAGGTGACAGTCAGGATCACCCTCAAAAACAGAAATGATAAGCAAGTTAAATAATTACATGAAGGCTAAAATCATTCCACCTCCATTTTGATCTTAATATTAGCTACATAAACCTACTGCAATATATGCTGATAATAATAGGAGTATATTGAGTCAATATGGATGAGAAATTGTTCACTTATAGCAAAAAAAAGTGAATGTTAAATGTACTCAAACTGAACAATATACACACAGACTTATGTATTTCTACTTATCAGATGAAGCAATGAATTATAATGCTCTCTCAAGTCCATATGCTTGTTTGAACTCAAGAATGCTGCCCCTGTGGCTTTAGCTGCTGGTGCTTTCCAAAAAGACCCCCAAACTTCTAGAGCTCATGTCTTTGAAGCTGGAATCACAGAATCAGGCAGATTGGGTTGGAAGGGACCTTAAGATCATCCAGTTCCAAGTCCCTGCCACAGGCAGGGACACCTTCCACTAGACCAGGTTGCTCCAAGCCCCTGCCATGAACACTGCAAGGAATGGGGCAGCCACAGCTTCTCTGGGCAACCTGTGCCAGGGCATCACCACCCTCACAGTCAAAAATGGGGGTTTTCGAAACAAAAAAACCCAAACAAACCCAAAACCCAAACCAAAAAAATGATCAACCAACAAAAAAAAAAAACAAACCCACCCCAAACTAAACTCTTATGGTGATGAAAAAGTTGTGTTTTTTTTTTTTTAATAATATATTCAGAAGAATGCCAGAATTTAATCTCCTGCATGATGAAGCTCAGTCCTTCTTAAGCCCTGTGGTTTGTCATACAAATCAGCATCTGGCCAGAAATATACCTTTCTTGAAGCTTTCATCTCAGGTATTTTTCCAGGCTTTTGAAATCCAAAAAGAAACACTGAAGTGGTTCTACTATTTCATTTTTTTCACAGTATTCCAAGATGAAAGTTCACAGGGTGCTACGTCCTTTAAATTCTCACAGAAAATGCACACAACTTCAAATGAATTGTATAAAAACAGAGTGCTCAAAGAATGGAAAACCATCACTGTCTCCTTCCAGGAACTGCCATACTGAACTTGCCTGGGCACCAAGATGAAGAGGGAGCTCTATGACAGTTCTGTGAAAGACACATCTTTCTCCTTCTCTGAATCAGGATGCCATGCTGTAATTCACCTCTAAACACCTTCCTCTCTCTTTTACAAGCCACCCTTTCCACTTCCACCCTCCTCCTGCCATGCCACCCCAAAGCCAGGATCTCCCTTTCATGTCTTCAGCCTTTTTAAACACCTTTCTTAGGTCTTCCTGTTCTCAACTACAGATTACAGTCCAAGCCCTTGCAGTTTCAGCACACATGCCACTGCCACCTCATCACATTCCCAGCTCCACCTGGCCCTGAACATGTTGCAGCCTAATGAGCATGACAGTTCATGCAAGGGGCCACAGACATCTACATTCCTGACTTCCCACTTCTTTTATTTCACTGAAGTCCAGCAGAGACAGAGTACTGCAGGAGAAGTTATGACATTATGCTTCGGAATAAAATCTGCAAGTTACAGAGCTTATCATAGTAAGAACATTTCAGATTAAGGGGATTTCCCATCCTGTTTTCTAGGAGGACTCCAGAGTTAATCCCTTCAACCTCTCACCTGGCAACCCTGTTCTCCTACCTCCCCCTCCATTTGGAACCACTGAACCAGTCTTAGGGATGGCTCTCTTCAAAGAGATCCCCTGGCAAAGCTGCTTGGTAATGCCTGTTTTTCTGCTAGCCTTCACACATGTTCTGTAGCAGATAAACATGGGGGATGCAAAACCCCAATACCATGTATAAGAGGTGAGAACCACTCCTTAAAAAACTTTTTTTTTTGTTTTCTCAATTTGGTCTGCTGTGTCCCTCAATGAATAGGATCTCTTCAATCAATGTGTCTTCTCCCTAACCATACTTTGGCCATGCAGGACATCTTCAAGCAATAATTATTTTAATTTGCATTTAATAAAATTATTCCCATATAACAGCTGCTACTTGCACATTGTTAAAGAAAGGGGGCAGATCACTGTCAGATGAAAGGGATTCCTCTCCATTACTAAGCAATGCAAGAATACCACAAGCAAGTCTGTTGTTTCCCTCCCATAGCCTCATTATTACTTTCTCTGGAACATCAACCAAAATATTAAATATACTTCACATGCCTTAGAGTCACAGAGCCTTAATGGTGGAGCACGACTTGGTCATGGTTTACAAAATTAATATGCATTCTGCACAACATACACACAGTAGCAAGCCTATAGTGTCTCTACCAAAATACTTCCAACTTTTAGAGGCAGCCTCAGAAGGAGAAACTGGGGAAAAGAGAGGTCAATGTAAAGTGGAGCTGTCAAGTGTCAGTGATTTTTATCCACACTGACTGGAAAAGAGTGTCAGAAAGGAGGAATATTGAGACCTATTTTTGTATTCAGATTGAGCTTGACAAATGACAGATTTTCATGGAAATCTTCATGGAGAGGAATTTGTTTGCAGGTTGCATTATCCAGAGATAAGGCTCCAACAGAAGGTGAAATGAGAGAGTGTCTGAAAGGACAAACTGAGGAGGGGTTATACATACACTGTCAGCAGAGTGGCCACAAAAATCAGGAGCAGCAAGATTCCAGGGAAAAATATCACTGATTTTGTTAAAATTAGTTATGTACTGCAGAAGCACTACAGATCAGATTTGCCTAATGAGCACCTTTTTTAGTATAAGTACTACATTTAGGAAAATTATATAAAACAAAACAAGGTTCTCCCATTGAAAAATGATGAAGGCTTCAAGCATTCTTCTATGACAGACTTCTCATGCTATCAAGTATTTTTAGCCAAAATAAAATGTAGAATTCACTTGTTACTTGCAAAATAGCATGCAAGTTACTAAAAAGAGACAGATGCATAATTAAAGATGTTCAACTTCTTTAGGTATCTGAAAAACTACCCAAGCAGATCACGTTTCAGGTTACAAATTTTCGTTCTCTAATTTCTCTATCACATTCTTATTTAGATTTCAAGTGCCTTTGAGCAAAAATGATGTCTTTTATTTTATGCAATGCTCTTACAAAGACTTTATAATTACTGGTAACAGTAACAACATAAGTGCTGCTTTGATGACAGTCTTCTGAAAAAATCACACTTGAAAACTCTGAATCTCAGCATCTTTTGGAAAGAAAGGTTAAACCTAAGCAGAAAATATGAATAATTTCCCAAGGTATATCACATGTTGACATAGGACTAAATTATTTTGTTACTTCAGAAAAATTTTTATTGTTACCATATGCGCCAACTGAAATCAAGCCAGGGAACAAATACAACATAAACTTCAAATACATCATCCCTTCCATAGGGTTTCATCATATAAAATAAAATTCTGCTGTGTATACTTTTGAGAAGTGGTTTTGATAAAGCTGTTATCTTGCCACAGACTCTGTATGTGTCCTGAGTTCCCACAATTTATGATACCAAATAAACACAGAATATTACCCAACTGATATAATTTGATAAAGAATGCCATTACCTTAAACAGAACAAGAGGGAGGAAAAAGTCAGTAGAAGCATACCCCCACTGACAGCAAAAAGTACATGCTTGGTCTTTTGGATTTCCATTCCTAATTTTATCTAGCAAAAAACGTAATTCTACTAGTTAACAGTATCAATGCAACCAATATTCTAACACACAATCAAAATATACAGGATTAATAATTATTATCATTATTGTATGGTTATCATTTAAAGTGTGATGTAAACAAGTATCTGAGCTTTCCAAACAGCACCTACTTTGTGGTTGACATGAACACCAGACAGTTTTTCTCCCTATTAGCTAACATTGTTAAAAAAACCCATTAGCATCTTCTTTTTCCTACACAGTAAAATGAAGTGTGACCAGGGAAATTTATACAATTTCTTGAACTCTAAGACAGATCCCAAACATTTGCTTTTCCAAAATTAGGTGAATGATCTTATTTCTCCGCTCCAAAAGCTGTGTGTAGCCTTTCAAGACTCTCATTACATTTACCTAACAGATTAAAAAAGTAAGCACATAATTCTGGTCTTATGTGCCTATTACAAGCCAGGAGAGTTATTTCTCCTCCAAGCAGGCTGTTGCCGAACGGAGCCTCCTGCATCTTGAGCATTACTGTAACCGTGGGATTTTTACTTTGGAAAACCTATCAATTGGTAAAAGCTGCCACCTACTGGTTAATGAAAAGTATTTTACACCGTCAAAGTAAAGAATTACATCAATGCAGCAAAAGGTACTGATACTCTGCGAAAAATCATCCCCCACCTTGAAAAAAAAAAAAAAAAAACAACAGCAAAACCCAAGAACAAATGGTCATAAGAAATAGTTTCAACAGCAAGGCTCGTTTTAATCATCTGCTCTCATCTCCAAGGAACAAGAAGGTTGTAAGTGCACAAACCTGCCAATAAAATCATCCTTTTTGCCAGCATCCTTGTCCCACACGGTAATATCAATAATTCCACCTCGTTCTTCATAGAGATGAAAGTCAAACTGCTCTCTCCACTGAGGATTCAAAGTTTTTGGCACAATCTGAAAGAAGAGCAAAAGGAAAGTCATATTGCATTGTGCAGACATGCACTTCCTAGATTTGTGAATTCAATGTTTAGAGGCTGTTCAAAGAGTTTTTTCTGCTTGCACTGTGACTATCTTTAGCAGTGAGAATTAAAAAATAGTAATTAGAAAAGTCCACTGACACGTTCTCTTATGCCTCTCTGACACAACAGCAACCTCCAAAATCCTGAAACCTGTCACCTTCAAAAAGCCTCCCAAACAAAGGATTTACCCTGGCAATGGGTGCATTTTTCTGTAGAATAATTATGCCCTATCTTAAGTGACAGTTAGCTGTGAAGTTGTGTGTCTGAGCCTAAAGGAAAACAAATGACAACTAGATAGTGACTGTAGGTGTTTAAAAAGAAATGATTTTATCATGTCCTCCATACCGAGCTACAGCAAGCTGTGAGAAAGATGATATCATGGTTTACTTTTTATGCAATAATACTCTCTGTTGTTTGTTGGGTTTTTTTTGTTTGCTTCCCCCCCCCCCCCAAAAAAAAAAAAAACACCTGTATTTTACTGCCTTTCCTTTGCAGTAAAAAGAATGAGAAAGCTACTTTCAGAAAATGAGAAAGCTACTTTCATTTTTAGTTCAGTTACTTCTAACAAAAGTGCCTTCAATGGATTTCAGCCTGTGTAATTCTGACCATGCTCTGCAGAACAGAAAGCTTGCAGATTTTTCTACCAAAATGCAAAAGCAGTATTCACAGCAGTTACATATGCCCTGAGCAAGAATGGAACTGTCTAGTACTTTCCATACAAAGCAATCACTAATTTCTATATCTACCAGTTTGCGGGTTTGAAAAACAAATGGAAAAATCAGAGAGGATTTGAATGCAGAAATGATAGGAAAATGTTTAAGTCACAAAATCATGAAATTTGATTTCTTCTAATTTCAGATTAAGAGGCCACAAGGCAGGCTCAGATCTCTGCAAACATGACATCTAGATGTTCCTGGCCTCTTCCTCGCATTTTCCTTTATCTGGCTGTGAAAACCACATGGGCTGCCATGGCCATTGAGAGAGAAAGGTCAAGTAAATCATCAGCAGTCCCAGCATCTTTCATAAACAGCCATTTTCAAACCAATAGGGGTCAGGGGGTTAAAAAATAATGGCAATAAAGCCAAGCAAGGCTCCACAACTGTCTTCTCACAGATCAATCCTATCTACTTGTTAAACTCCTACATACACAAAACTTTTATGAAACTTGCTGTAATAACACAATGAGGAAAGTGAGAATATAAGCATAATGCGGTTTGAGGATAAGACCTGTACCAGCAAATAAAACCAACACAGTCTGCATGGAAAAGCAGGTGCGCCTCCCCACCAACTTGCATTTTTCAACACTATATTTTTCCTCACCTACTATTATTTATTTATTTTTTTAATAGCAAAGTAAAAAGAATCATCTAAACAAAACTCCAGCAGTTCTGGCAGCTAATTAATAGAAGAGTAACTCTCCATTACTATTTAAATAGTCATGCCAGCCAAAAAAATCCTGCAAACAGGAACAAAACATTTCAGACACAGCCAATGCATATTTTTCGTCACAGCTAAAATTACCTTGCTCTTGTACTTCTGATGCCCCAACCGGAACTTCACATAAGGATCACTTCGTCCATTTGCATCCATTGCCTTTAGTTCACGACCTTCTATTAAGGTAACACTAACTATCCCTCTCCAAAGCTGAGATTTTCTGTGCAGGTCTGAGAGACGTAAGCTCTGTGTCTGAAATAAAATTAGAGATTTAGTTAAAAGCATCCCCAAACTTTTCTATGCATTTTAGTGTGAAATTTAATGTAACTATGAATGTAAAACAACAATCTTAAGCCGTTTTGAAGTTATTTGACGGTACATATGTAAACTGTATTAAAAATAAATACTTTGAAAGCAACAAAACACTGACAAATACACAGGTAATGTCATATTGTGCTTTTGCAGAAGCAAACAGAACAAATGCTAATTAAGGAAATGTTTGGGGAAAACGATGTTTTTTCCTGCTTCTCTTCTTCCTATGCTGAAACAACTAAAAAAATTAAAAATAAATGTTTTAAAGTCCCCTCTATTAGTATCATACGATTGAATGAACTTGAACAAACACTGAAATAAACATAAAAATAGCGAGAATGTGAAGCTTCCATTAAAAATAGTATAAACCCATCAAGAGAAGCACAGATGAAGGAAAAATTATAAACTGCTGTGTACATGACAACTATCTCAGCCTCTAAAATGCTGTGGTATTTTTACTACAAAGGAACAAGGAAAACTGAATTAAATGCCAGCATGTTGGCCCAAGGGTTTCAAAACAAGACGTTGCAGAGCTGCTAGTTGGAATTGTTAACTTTGGTTAGAGGTTCAAAGGGAATGACCGAAATCAGTGAACCCCGCTGTGGCAAAAGTTGGGATTACAAATTTGAGTAATTTAAGATTACCGCCACCCAGCTCTGAGCTACCAAGGTAACAAGTTACCAGAACTGGGGAAGGCATCTCAAGTGCATCTGAGGAGCAAGGCTGCCAAAGGCTCTCCTTGTATCCCGGAATCTTATTTGTTCAAGGTTACCTTACCTATAATCAGAACACTAGGGAGTGAAACAATACTTAAACCCACAAATTATATTTTCTAGGAATCAAAAAAAGCAAGCCTGCATGTACACTCAGCTGTAAATACAACAAATATATATGTTTTCTTTATTATGCAATGTACTTTAAGCAACAAAGGCTTTATGGGCTCAGCAACCCCCCCACATGAAGGATTGCACAGCTGATTTCATCACTTGCACACTTCCAGTATCTCTGAGGTTTTCAGTGCAAATTTGGTTTGAGGCTAAACACAGCTGAATAGTTATATCTATAAAAGTTCCCAGGGCAGGAACTGTATTTTATGTTACCTAGGGAAGATCACAGAAAGCACACTGGAGCGAAATCACTGGATTGTAACTTGCAGGCACCAGACTCCTGAGCGATGTGTTATAGACAAGGACTGTGGCCATTGGGGTTGGAGCAAATCTGAATAACATGTTTTTAGCAGTATTCCAGGTATTATATTGGCATGTATTTGTGCTTTCCAATGGCTATTCATTCCAAGCAGGATGTTTACTCCTGAAATACTTCACTATATTTATTAAAAATTTCTCTTCCTGAAGTGAAGAATTTCACTGCAAAGAAACTTCTCACAAACTTACTCTTTCTTCAAAGGCAAACAAGGAACCGTGGAATAACCTTTAACCTAACCTGTGACATGAAGAAGCTGCAGGACACCAGAAAGCATAAACTCTACAAAAATTTGGGCACAACTGACAAATTCAGTTGCCAGAAGAGATTCTATTTACAACACAGGAACTTTATTAAACTTTTTTTTTTTCTCAGCACAAATATGCCTTCATTAGGGATACACAGTCAACATTGCCAGAGACTTGTGAAGAAGTGGTGGATTATTTTTGGTTTTCTGGTTCCAGTTTTTTTTATGTTTGAGTAAAAGAAACACTGAATAACTGAAAAATGATTGACCAAAATTGACTGTGCTCTGAAAATAAGACAATGATACAGAAGTGCTCAAGCCCAGATTGGACGGGGCTTTAGGCAACCTGGTCTAGTGGAAGGTGTCATGGCAGGGGATTAGAACTAGATGAGCTGTAAGGTCCCTTCCAATCCAAACCGTTCTAGGATTTTATGATATAGAAAGGAGACAAGGTACTTTCTGGCATTTCACATGTGGATAGAAGCAGTGGTTATTTGAGACTGATTCTGGCAAAGAATGCAAAGCTGTTGGTTTGGATTTTTTTTTACAGTTGAGTGGGGATCCAAATGATTTCCAGATACTGTCATGGAAATGAGTATCAGTTAGCATTTACCATCCTTGTAAAGCAAAGTTAAAGCACAACTGCTTAGTGCTCTACTTCACGAATCACATAGGAGATAGTGAATCATCTAGAGAGTATACTTGATCTAAATTCTGTTTTTTCAATGGCTCTTAAAATAATTTGCTGCATTAGAGCAGCTGCCACCCTATAAAACGTGCTGATTTTTTATGACCAGTAGGGAGTTTCACCAACGAGGGTAATTTACATATGAGGTGGCAAGGCAAGAATTGAATAACCTTGCGTAAAGCATAATATGACAGCTGGGTCAGACAGGAGTTTACAAGAGTCAGGCAGAAACCCTGAGTGCAGTGGTTCATGTGTTGCTGGAGAAAATCCTTCTGGGTCAGAGCCAGTGAAGAGCCCACATCTTAATCTGCTGGAAGAACAGCAGCTGGATACTTAAAGTGGTGTGGTCTGGTTTCTTCCCTGAGGTTAGGAATTTGGACCACAGCAATGCCCTTTTCTCCACATCTTTATTGGTAACACCCAGATCCATGGAACAGCGACAGGGAAACATACGGAAAGGTATAGCTGGCTGAAGCTAAAGCTATTGAGATTGTCTGGACATGAAAGACAGGGGACACATAGCCTTCTCTACAAGAAAAGTTTCCAGCTGGCATTTTTCTTGTTTCTAAGTGAGATTGAACACATCTGAAACATGCTTTCCTTACAGTAGAAGTCATCCTTATCCTCAGAAATTACAGACACTGACATCATCCTTAATTTCATATAGTTTACTGTAAGAAGTAAAATAAATAAACATGAATGCTTAGGTTTCAAGTCAAATTTGAAAAAGAGCTAACAGGTTTTAAAAAAATGGGAGAATAAGACTGATTTCATATTTTAGAGTTCTTCTGTTATGAACTTAATTCTGCAGTGTGAGACAGATATGTCACTTGTAGGTACTTTTTTAGGTATCTGAGCAACCTTCTGTAATCCAGCCCATGGTGATCAGTTACAGAGTCAGAAGGGAATACATGAAGGTAAAATGAAGAAATGATCACAGATCTTTCCAAATTTCTTCTATGAAGGAGAATGTCTCAAGACTAATTCTTGGATAACTTTTTCCCTCAGAAAGCGCGACATGCGTACTGCATCTTGGCTTTACTCTTCTGCCACAAAGAAAAAACACAAAGACACTGTACAGCTTTTCATTTCTCTGGGAATAGGTGGTAAGTAATATATTTCATAGTATTTCCATCTGAAACTGGCCATACTGTCTATACAATGCCACAGTTTGGAAAGAAGCAAGGTCAAGATCTCAGGCTACAACCAACTGTCATTAACGTGGGATTATTATCCCCATTCTTGTGCATTTATATTCAGGCATGGACATTCCCACCTGACATGTTCTAAACAAAAAAAAAAACTAAGAAGGGCAGAAGGGAGCTGCAGCCTCCATACTGTGAAGCTTTCTCTCTCTCTTTTCTCACAAGAAAATTAAAATTATACTTCTGAAAAGCAGTCTTTCATGTCAAAGGATACTCAAACCTGCCTGTGAAAGAAAAACTTTTCATATCCATACACTGTTCTAATGTTTCTACTATAAGCAGCATTCAAAATAAACATTTTCTTACACAATAAAATTAGCTTTTATTTGTGTTTCACTATTCTGGCTAAATGTGGGGTAGTGGGAGGGATAGGGATGCCACTAGCAGAAAGTATTCTGACACAGAACTGTATCCTCTATTAGACATGATTAATATAGTGAGCCAAATACAACGTCAGATCTGAAAGATGATCTCACAACATGGCTTAATGTTCTATATTCAGCCACATATTGCTGGGTAACATTGCTGGGTAGAAACCAACTAGGTTTAGCCAGAATCTGGGCATTGTTCCCAGGTTCATCAAGACCATGTTCTTGATGAGTGTATTAACTGCCACAACTTGACTGTTGCTCTTTTCAAAAGAAGAGAGCCTTTAGTAAGTACTTTCAAAAATCTCACACATATTCATGTTCGTATCTAACTGACCTTTGGAACTCCTCTTAATGAGTTAGAGAAACCCACAGCCTGACCTCAACCTTATCTAAACCCTTCGATCCCCACTTTGGGTGCCACAAAGAACTGTCATGGTTTAAGCCCAGCCGGTAACCCCAGAACCACGCAGCCACTTGCTCACTTCTCTCCATTCTTCCTCCCCCCACTCCCGGCGGATGGGGAAGAGAATAGAAAGAATGTGACTCCCACGGGTTGAGATAAGAGCAGGCCAGTAACTAAGGTGTAACACAAATCACTACTGCTACCACCAATAATAATGATAAGGGAAATAACAAGGGGAGAGAATACGACCTGAGCAGCGATCTGGGCCTTCTGGGTAACTCCCCCCAGTTTATATACTGGGTGTGACGTGCTGTGGTATGGAATATCTCTTTGGCTAGTTTGGGCCAGGTGTCCTGTCTCTGCTTTGTCCCTGCTTCCCTTCCTCCCTGGCAGAGCATGAAACTCAGAAAATCCTTGGTCAGAATAAACATTACTGAGCAACAACTAAAAACATCGGTGTCATCAGAGCTGTTTCCAGGCTGAAAGTCAAAAACACAGCACTGCACCAGCTACTAAGAAGGAGAAAAAAAAGACTGCTATTGCTGAACCCAGCACACCTCACCTCTTCATTTATCCGCCCTCAACCCCTGCAAAGCACCAACTCTCTCAGTGGTTATGCCCATGCAAACAGGCCTTGCTTTTACAAAATCTGCTCCTTGTTACACTCTACTAGGACACACTCCTCCTCCTCTGCATCCCTGAACGCAAAATTTATTGTTCTAGAACAGTTGAATAATAGACCCAGTTTTTGAGATGCTTGCATAGGTTGGACAAATATTTAAAATAAGGATTGAGAATGCCAATAAATGCAGCTGTTAGCTTG